TCCTCTCTGCTCTTTGCAGTCACTCCAGGCAAGCATTAAAAAAAATATTTTATTTATTTATTTACTGGGTCGTGCTGGGTCTTTGTTGCCGCGTGGGCCTTTTCTCTAGGTCGTGGCCAGCGGAGGCTACTCTCTCGTTGCAGTGTGCAGACTTCTCTCACTGCGGAGCAGGGGCTCTCGGGCGCTGGGGCTTCAGTAGTTCTGGCGCGTGAGCTCAGTAGTTGCGGCCCCTGGGCTCTGGAGTACAGGCTCAGTACTTGTGGAGCGAGGCTTAGTTGCTCCTTGGCATGTGGGATCTTCCTGGACCAGGGCTCGAACCCACGTCTCTTGCATTGGAGGCAGATTCTTCACCACTGAGCCGACAGGGAAGCCGCAGACACGCAGTTTTAATGTATAGAACCCAGTCACGAGTCACAACAGCGTGCAGCCGCCTGTCATGCTGCGGGACATCTAGGAAACACTCCAAAGGAACTGGTTCCAGGTGGCTAATACTGGTCCTGTAGGTTCACTCCCCAGCTATCATGTTTTCATTTCCAGTTCATGGAGATTCTAATTTTGTTTTTTTTTTTAAATGGGTTGCCTTTTAAATACACATTTGGAATGCATTATCGGTCTTGTTATTTTATCTGTTTGAAGTTTTTCTCTAAAATTCACTCAGTCTGTTTGATAGGAAATGACCCTATAAAACTTGTCTACTTAAAAAAAACAACTTGTCTACTTATGCAATTTTTTCAAGCAGAGAAAAGGCTGTATTATACTCACTGAGCCATACGCTGCTTACTGAAGAACTGCTTGACCTATACTATAATCCTGTCCAGAGGACAGGACTGCAGCATCGCCCTCAGTCAGGTCCCTGCATGTTCAACATCGACTGTGGTTCTCGACTAGGGAGACAGTCACAAAACCACTTAGCAGAGACCGATGCAGTGGGAGAGAAACCTACAACCCTGAAGTGGACCAGTATAGTTAGCACCTTTTTCTAATGTATCTGGTTCTGTGGCAGAAACTGGAGTACTAAAAAACTGTACACTTTTTTTCACATGACACATATATCTTGGATCTTTTTATAAGAACATATGGAAATATATCCCCATTTAAAAAATTGGCTGCATATTATTTATATTATATGAATATATCATATTTAGACAGTCCTGATTGACATCTTGTTTCCTTTACCAACAATGATGCAATAAACCTACTAAGTGAACTTTTGTGAATATGTCTGCTTTATATAAACCAAATGCCAGTTATTATATGTAAGAGCACGTTTAATTTAGATTTTTGACTTGAGTTATGATGAAGAACCCGTCCAAAAACGTCAGTATGAAGAAGCAACCAAGAAAATTGTGAGCCACTTGTTGCTGCCATACGCAGATTTATTCTCATTTGACAAGTTAATGAACAACCAGCACATTAATCATTTAAACAGCAAGCTGAAAAGCCCTGTGCTGCTGAAACCACAGAAACGTGTCTCAAGGGTAGGGGTGGACTCCAAGGAGCTCTCGTTGTTTATATCTCAGCACAGGAAGAATTCACTTTGCCAAATCGTTCTCCTGAAAGACTGTATTAATTTAAACTCCCTCCAAATACTACATCATTGTTTTTCAGGCTGCCTAGTATTCTGTCGTATGGATATACCATAGTTAAAATGCTTCAAAGAGTGTCTGGTCCAAAGAGTGTTAGTTGTCATGATTGCTGTTACTACAAGACATTTTCACTTTTTTGTGCTAGCATTACGATATTGTATTGCTGATATTTACTTGGCACTTTTGCCATTTGCTTTTTCTCATCATTTAGCTTCCTTCCTTATTTCTAGTTTTATTGAGATATATTTGACATACAGCACTGTGTAAGTTTAAGGTGTGCAGCATAATGACTTGACCTACATACATCATGAAATATTTTCACAATGGGTTTAGTGAACATCCATCATCTCATATAGATACTAAATAACAGAGAAAGAAAAAAATGTATATATAATTCTTGTGATGAGAGGTCTTAGGATTTGCTCCCTTAACTACTTTCATATTTAACCTAATGGTGTTAATTATATTTATCATGTTGTACATTATATCCTTAGTACTTGTTTATCTTATAACTGGAAGTTTGTCACTTTTGACTACCTTCATTTTTAATTCCCTCTGCCTCCAACCCCTCCTCTGGTAACCACACATCTGCTCTCTTTTTCTATGAGTTTATTTGTGTGAAGTACAAACGATTTATTATGTTAGTTCCTGGTACACAACACAGCGATTCAACATTTCTATACATTAAAAAATGATCACCATGATAAGTCTGTCACCATACAAAGATATTACATTATTATCAACTATATTCCCCACACTGCACATTTTACAACCATGATTCATTTATTTGGTTACTGGAAGTCTGTTAATCTCTCTCATCTATTTTCCTCATCCCCTTAACACCCCTAATCCACCAACCACCTGTTTATTCTCTGTATCTATGACTCTGTTTCTCTTCTGTTGTTTGTTTCTTTGTTTTCTTTTTAGATTCCACATGTAATGAAATCATACAGTATTTGTCTTTCTCTGTCTGACATTTCACAGAACACAATGTTCTCTAGGTCCATATGTGTTATCACAAATGGCAAGATTTCATTCTTTTTATGACTGAGTAGTATTCCATTGTGTATATATATCTTCTTTATCCATCTATCTATCCATCTACCAATGGCTGCTTCCATATCTTGTCTATTGTAAATAATGCTGCAATAAACATAGGGGTTCATCTTTCTTTTGGAATTAGTGTTTCTGTTTTCTTTGGATAAATACCCAGGAGTGGAATTGCTGGATTGTATGGTAGTTCTATTTTTAACTTTTTGAGGAATCTGCATACTGTTTTCCATAGTGAAAGTGAAAGTGTTAGTCACTCAGTCATGTCTGACTCTTTGTGACTCCATGGACTGTAGCCCACCACACTCCTCTGTCCATGGAATTCTCCAGGCAAGAATACTGGACTGGGTTGCCATTTCCTTCTCCGGGGGATCTTCCTGAGCCAAAGATCGAGCCCAGGTCTCCTGCATTGCAGGCAGACTCTTTACCGACTGCGCCACCAGGGAAGACCGTAGCAGCTGCATCAATTTCCATTAGACTTCCCTTTTTTCCTACATCCTCACCAGCCTTTATGATTTCTTATCTTTGTGATAATAGTCACTCTGACAGGTGTGAGATGACACCTCACTGTACTTTGGGTTTGCATTTCTTTGATGATCAGTGTATTGACCGTCTTTTCTTGTGCCAGTTGACATCTATCTGTCTTCTTTGGAAAAATGTCCATTTAGGTCCGCTGCTTATTTTTAAATAGGATTGTTTGCTTTTTTTCTATTGAATTATATGAGTTCTTTGTATGTTTGGGGTATTAACCCTTTATCAAGTCTGTTGTTTGCAAATACCTTCTCCCATCCAGTAGGCAGTCTTCCACTTGTTGATAATTTGCTGTTCTCAAGCTTTTTAGCTTGATGTACTCTTATTTATTTATTTTTGCCTTTGCTACCCTTGCTTGAGGACATACATTAAAAAATATTGCTAAGGTATGTCAAAGATGTACTGCCTATGTTACATGTTAGGAGTTTTATGGTTTCAGGGTCTCACACTTAAGTCTTTAATCCATTCTGAGTTTATTTTTGTGTATAGTGTGAGAAAGTAGTCCAGTTTGATTCCTTTCGTGTAACTGCCCAGTTTTCCTAACACCATTTATTGAAAAGGCTGCCTTTTCTCTGTTGCAGATTCCTACCTCTTTGGTCATGGGTTACTTGACCAATACATATACATCGCGGCTCTATTTCTTCTGTCCCATTGATCCATGTGTCAGCTTTATTGTCAATACCACACTGTTTTGATTACTGTACTTTGTAGTAAAGTGTGACACCAGAGAGCACACCTCTGGCTTTGGTCTTCTTTCTCAAGATTGTTTTGGCTAGTCAGGGTCTTCTGTATTTCCGTACGAACTTTAGAATTATTTGTTCTAGCTCTGTGAAAATTCCATTGGCATTTTTATAAGGATTACATTACATCTGTAGACTGCCTTGGGTAATATGGTCATTTTAATAGCAATATTAATTTTTCCAATCCATGAGAACAGTATATCTTCCCATTTGTTTGTGCCATGTTCAATTTCTTTAATCAGTGTCTCACAGTTTTCTGATACAGTTCTTTTACCTCCTTAGTTAGATTTATTCCTATGTATCATTAATGAAATCATAAATGGGGTTATTTATTTTCTCTTTCTGATAATTCATTGGTAGTGTATAGAAATGCAACAGATTTCTATGTATTAATTTTCTATCCTGTAACTTTACTGTATCCAATGATGAATTCTAATAGGTTTTGGTAGTGTTTTTATGATTTTCTATATTTAGTATCATGTCATCGGGACAGTTTAATTTCTTCCTTTTTGATTTGGATGCTTTGGGCTTGTCATAGCAAGCACTTATTATGTTGAAGTACTCTACCCACATTGTTGAGCCATGTTCTTTTTTTTTTTATTATAAAGTATATACAAAGAAACACACACATATATACAAACTAGAAAGAAGAATTACAAAAGTAACCCCTGCATACCTACTATTTGGTTAAGAAATAAAACATTACTTATTCCTTTAAAGCGGCTATGGTCAAAGTATGGTCTATGTATGCCTGAGGGTCCCTGAGACCCTTTCTGGGGAATCCATGAGGTCAGGGCTGCTTTCATAATATACTAAGATGTTGTTCACCCTTCTCACTGTGTTGACATTTGCACTGAGGGTACAGAAGCACCGGTGGGTAACTGCTGGCCTCTTAGCACTAATCAAGGCACTGGCACCACACTGTACTGTGCATCGTGTTCTTCACTGCCACAAGTTTGCAGTCAATAATGCCAGTTTCACTTGAGAATGTCCTTGGACACCCCTGGTGGCATAGTGGATAAGAATTCTCCTGCCAGTCCAGAGGATGTGGGTTTGACCCCGGTCCGGGAAGAGTCCACAGGCTGAGAAGCAAATGAGCCCGTATGCCGCAACTGCTGAGCCCGCGCCCCAGAGCCAGCAACCTCCGCTGCGCAGCCACGAGCTGCTGCTCCCGAAGCCAGAGCGCCTCGGGCCCGTGCTGCACAAGAGAAGACGCCGCAGTAAGAAGCCTCTGCACCGCAGCTGGACAGTGGCCCTGCTCTCTGTGAGGAGAGAAAGCCTGCCCAGCAACAAAGGCCTAGTGCTGCCCAAAGTGAATAAATGACTTAGAATATTAAAAAAAAATCCGCTTGATAAAGCAGTAAATACCATTAATTTTGTTAAATCTCAACTCCTGCATGTAAATGTATACATGTATATATAAGCACATGTATATATATTAAAAGTATTTATTTGACTGTACTGGGTCTTGCTGCAGCACTTGGGATCTTTGATCTTCATTGGGACATACAGGATCTTCAGCTGTGGCATGTGGCACCTATTTCCCTGGCCAGGGATCAAACCCACACCCCCTGCAATGCAGGGTGAATTCTTAATCCATTGGATCATCAAGGCAGTCTCTGTGCTGTTGTTCAGTAGCTCAGTCGTGTCTGACTCTGCGACCCCATGGACCGCAGCACGCCTGGCCTCCCTGTCCATCTCCAACTCCCGGAGTTTACCCAAACTCACGTCCATTGAGTCGGTAATGCCATCCAGCCATCTCATCCTCTGTCGTCCCCTTCTCTCCTGCCCTCAGTCTTCCCCAGCATCAGGGTCTTTTCGAAAAAGTCAGCTCTTCGCATCAGGTGGCCAAAGTATTGGAGTTTCAGCTTCAGCATCAGTCCTTCTAATGAACACTCAGAACTGATCTCCTTTAGGATGGACTGCAGTCCATCCCTTGCAGTCCAAGGGACTCTCAAGAGTCTTCTGCAACACCACAGTTCAAAAGCATCAATTTTTTGGTGATCAGCTTTCTTTATAGTCCAACTCTCACATCCATACATGACCTCTGGAAAAATCATAGCCTTGACTAGACGGACCTTTGTTGGCAAAGTAATGTCTCTGCTTTTTAATATGCTGTCTAGGTTGGTCATGACTTTCCTTCCAAGGAGCAAGTGTGTTTTAATTTCATGGCTGCAGTCACCATCTGCAGTGATTTTGGAGGCCCCAAAAATAAAGTCTGACACTGTTTCCCCATTTATTTCCCATGAAGTGATGGGACCAGATGCCATGATCTTAGTTTTCTGAATGTTGAGCTATAAGCCAACTTTTTCACTCTCTTTCACTTTCATCAAGAGACTTTTTAGTTACTCTGCACTTTCTGCCATAAGGGTGGTGTCATTTGCATATCTGAGGTTATTGATATATTTTTCGGCAGTCTTGATTCCAACTTGTGCTTCAGCCAGCCCAGTGTTTCTCATGATGTACTCTGCATATAAGTTAAATAAGCAGGGTGACAATATACACCTTGATGTACTCCTTTCCCGATTTGGAACCAGTCTGTTGTTCCATGTACAGTTCTAACTGTTGCTTCCTGACCTGCATACAGATCTCTCACGAGGCAGGTCAGGTGGTCAGTTATTCCCATCTCTTTCAGAATTTTCCACAGTTTATTGTGATCCACACAGTCAAAGGCTTTGGTGTAGTCAATAAAGCAGAAGTAGATGTTTTTCTGGAACTCTCTTGCTTTTTCGATGGTCCAATGGATGTTGGCAATTTGATCTCTGGTTCTTCTGCCTTTTCTAAAACCAGCTTGAACATCTGGAAGTTCACGGTTCATGTATTGCTGAAGCCTGGCTTGGAGAATTTTGAACATCACTTTACTAGCATGTGAGATGAGTGCAATTGTGCGCTAGTTCAAGCATTCTTTGGCATTGCCTTTCTTTGGGATTGGAATGAAAACTGATCTTTTCCAGTCCTGTGGCCACTGCTGAGTTTTCCAAATTTGCTGGCATATTGAGTGCAGCACTTTCACAGCATCATCTTTTAGGATTTGAAATAGCTCAACTGGAATTCCATCACTTCCACTAGCTTTGTTTGTAGTGATTCTTCCTAAGGCCCACTTGACTTCACACTCCAGGATGTCTGGCTCTAGGTGAGTGTGAGTGATCATACCATTGTGATTATCTGGGTCATGAAGATCTTTTTTGTACTGTTCTTCTGTGTATTCTTGCCACCTCTTCTTAATATCTTCTGCTTCTGTTAGGTCCATACCGTTTCTGTCCTTTACTGAGCCCACCTTTGCATGAAATGTTCCCTTGGTATCTCTAACTTTCTTGAAGAGGTCTCTAATCTTTCCCATTCTGTTATTTTCCTCTATTTCTTTGCATTGATCACTGAGGAAAGCTGTCTTATCTCTCCTTGCTATTCTTTGGAACTCTGCATTCAAATGGGAATATCTTTCCTTTTCTCCTTTGCTTTTGGCTTCTCTTCTTTTCACAGCTATTTGTGAGGCCTCCTCAGACAGCAATTTTGCATTTCTTTTTCTTGGGGATGGTCTTGCTCCCTGTCTCCTGTACAGTGTCATGAACCTCTGTCCATAATTCATCAGGCACTCTGTCTATCAGATCTAGCCCCTTAAATATATTTCTCACTTCCACTGTATAGTCATAAGGGATTTGACTTAGGTCATACCTGAATGGTCTAGTGGTTTTCCCTACTTTCTTCAATTTAAGTCTGAATTTGGCAATAAGGAGTTCATGGTCTGAGCCACAGTCTGCTCCCGGTCTTGTTTTTGCTGACTGTATAGAGCTTCTCCACCTTTGGCTGCAAAGAATATAATCAGTCTGATTTTGGTGTTGGCCATCTGGTACAGTCCTACCAGATCTTAGTTTTTTTTCAGTCTCGTTTCAGGGCAGCTATTTTACTCTACTCTTTTACCCGCATCAAGAAGCTTTTTAGTTCCTCTTCATTTGCTGCTATTAGAGTGGCATTATCTGCATATCTGAGCTTGTTGATATTTTTCCTGGCAATCTTGACCCTAGCTTGTGATTTATCCAGTCTGGCATTTTGCATGTGATATATTTTGCATATAAGTTAAATAAGCAGAGTAATAATATACAGCCTTGACATACTCCTTTCCCAATTTTGAACCAGTCAGTTGTTCCATGCCCAGTTCTAACTGTTGCTTCTTTCTTTTTAATGTTTTTTTTTTTTAAACTGTTGCTTCTTGATCCATATACAGATTTCTCAGGAGACAGGTAAGGTGGTCTGGTATTCCCATTTCTTTAAGAATTTTCCACAGTTTGTTTTGATCTACACGGTCAGGGGCTTTAGTAGATGTTTTTCTGGAATTTCTTTACTTTCTCTATAATCCAATGGATGTTGGTAATTCCTATGGGGCTTGACTTTTGAGGATGATGTGAGGTAGGGGATACAATTTATTTTCTTTATGGACTTCTAGTTGTCCCGATATCAATTACTGAAAAGTCTATCTGCAGTGCTCCTCTGCCGTATTATATCATGTCTGTATGTGTGGTCTGTTTCTGGGTTCTCCTTGGTCTTCTGTTCTTCCACTTATGTTTCCTTGCACTGGTATTATACTGTTTTAATTACTATAGCTTTAAAACTGTCTTTATACCTAGTAGGGTAAGTTCTCCCATCTTATCATTCTTCATGGCTACTCAGCCATACAAATTTTAGAATCAGATCATCAGGAGCAACAGAAATAACTTAGGTCTGACTGATATTTCTTTCTTTTCTGTTTTTCATTTCACTTAAAATGTGTTGTTAAACTTTTCATGCATATCTCACCTCAATTAACATTGTTCATGGTGTCTTATTCTGTAGATGATCTACATTTTTAGGTAGTCAGATCACTCAACCTTTCCTTTTATGGTTTCTAGGTTCGGGGTCATGCTGATGCAAGCTTTTCCCATCCCAACATTTCAAAATATTGTTTAGTATTTTCTTCAAACTTTAAACAAAACTCTGTGTGTGTGTGTGTGTGTGTGTGTGTGTATACATGTATGTTTAACCCTCTGGTATGTACTTTTGTATGTGATGCACAATAGAGATGCAACTGAGATTTCATTTTAATCTATGGATGTGTTTGAGAACTAATATATTTTAAGTATTTACTTTTCTAATCTATGGGCATAGGCAAATTATTAGTATCATAGAAAGCCAACTTCCCTAATCAGCAATTGTTATAAACCAATAATAGAAAGAACCTCATAAAACACCATACCTTTAGAAATTAAAGAAATAGTTCTTAGTAACTCAAAAGTCAAAGAAGAAATGAGTATCCTTTTCTTTTTTGTAGGTCTTGTTTATGGTTGAAAATGAGGTTTTATAGTTCTCTCCCCAGAGATTTTGTACAATTTTGTTAGATTTACTAGGCACTTTATATTTTTATGTGTTTGTAAATAGCATTATTTTAGACATTTAATTTTATAACTTTTTACTAGTATATAGAAATTTGACTTCTGTATACCAATTTCATCTTAGTAGCCTCTTTAAAGTCTCCTTGAGAAAAAAAGAAAAAAGAAAAAAGAAAAAAAAGTAAAGTCTCCTTTAGGGATTTCCCTTGTGGTCCAGTGGTTAAGACACCAAGATTCAAATGCAAGGGGTGTCGGTTTGATCCCTGGTAGGGGAACTAAGACCCCACATGCTATGTGGCATGCTCCCCCCCCAAAAAATAGAAAAGGAAGTTTTTTTTATAAAACTTTACAAATTTTCTTTTATTTCTTATGAAATAAAATACAAATGCAAAAATCTCCAAAAAAAAAAAAATTGGTGCAATTTCATGATTTACTCTAAGGTGAAAGTCTTTGTAAACACCATCCCAGTAAAGAAATAGAAGTTTACAGGTATTCCCTGATGACATCCTTGTGCCCCTTTCCAGCCCTTATTCTCCACTAAAGGAAACCGTTATCTTGATTTTTATAGTAACCGTTTCCTTACATCTCCCTATGGTTTAAGTTTCCAAATGTGATTCCCTAAACATGATAGACTTGCCTAAGACCTAGTCTTAACCTTCTCCTTTCGTGTCACTTTTAAAGGCAAGCATTTTTAAACAGTTACATTAAGATATAATTTACATGCCATTAAATTCATCCATGATATGTGTACAATATTGTAATTTTTACTTAGTAATAGTTGTGCAACCATCATGGCCATCCAGTATCAGGACATTTCTATCACCCCCAAAAGTTCCCACCTGCCATTTTCAGTCAACCCCCACTTTTACCCCCAGCCCAGGTACCCTGATCTGTTTTCTTTCCCCAAGATTTGTTTTCTCTGGCATTTCATGTAAACGAAATAATAAAATGTGTAATCCTTTGC